TGACATAGGGCTGGAGAGTTGATATACCCCTGAGGTAGGATGGTAAAGGTGTATTGCTGTCCTTGTTAGCCGAAGACAAACTGCTTCTGGTGATTGTTTAAAACTGGAATTGAGCAAAAGGCATTGGCCAGATCAATAGCTGCATACCAGGTACCAGGAGATGAATTGATTTTTCTTAAGCAATGAAACCACATCTGGAACAGCAGCTGCAATTGGAGTCACCACCTGGTTAAGTTTACTATAATCCATTATCATTCCCATGATCCATCTGTTTTTTGCATAGGCCAAACAGGTGAGTCAAATGGGGATATGGTGGGAATCATCACCCCTGTATCCTTCAAGTCCTTGATGGTGACAGTAATCTCCTGCAGTCCCTCCAGAAATGCAGTATTGCTTTTGGTTTACTATTTTCCTAGGTAGCGAAAGTTCTAATGGCTTCAACTTGGTTTTCCTACCACTACAGCCCTTACTCCACTTGTCAGGGATCCAGTGTGGGAGTTCTGCCAGTTGCTGAGTATATCTATTCCAATTATGCATCCTGGAACTGGAGATATCACTACAGAATGGGTTCGGGAACCCACTGGACCCAATGTGAGACTAACCTGAGCTAAGACTCCATTAGTAATCTGACTTCCGTACATCCCCACTCCGACTGGTGGGCCAGAGTGATGTTTTGGATCTCCTGGAATTAGTGTCATCTCAGAGCCAGTATCCTCAAAAAGTCTAATTATTTCTTTCTCCCTACTGAAAAGTCATTCTCATAAAAGGTCATTGATCCCTTTGGGGAAAGCTGAGAGAAAGATTAACAATATAAATTTTTGGCAATGTAGTGTGTTCCTTCCTCAAGGGGACCTGGCCTCATCTTCATTGAAGAGATTGTGGGTCTATAAGCTGGCTCAAGTCTGGGAATTTATTGAAGGACTGTGATTCTCTGTTCCGTCAATTCGAGTTAGACTGCCATTCACTTGATATAGAATATTTCTGATTGTACAGATCAATGAAATATTTAGTAGATTTCCCATCTATTTCACTCCAAGGGACAGCATGACTAAGTAGCCAACACCATGAGTCAGACTATTCTGATTATTGCTTTGACTCTGCTGTCCATTACATTAACAATGCCCACCTTATCTTTGCCAACTGAGTGCTGCCACTTGGCCCCTACCACTATGGGGTCTGGTCAGCCCCATTGTAGGTAGATGCCTTAATTCAATTAGGGAAGTTCCCACTGTCAAATCTGACTTACTTAAAATAGCAATCACAGCAGTCTTCAAGGATGCTGGAACTCCCTTCACAAATTTATTCCTCGCCATTGTGGTAAATGGTGCTTCCTCTGGGCACTCCATTTGTGGTTCTGTGGGCCTAACCTAGTAAATCCACTCTAACATGCCAATTTCCCTAAGCCTTTGGATATATTCTTCTATTGCATACCAACACAGGTCTGGTACTTCAACTTGATTTAGTATAGCCACCGCATATCCCACGCTTCAGTTAACCAACCAAATAAACTATTAGATCCTTTCCTAATCTCTGGAACTGAAATATTGAATGAAGAATCTAGCTTCGTGGATCCATATCAATTCACTCAAACTGATCCAACTTTATGATCCTTACACCATTATCTCACAACCGTAATAGTCATTCCCACACATATTCCCCAGGTTTCTGTTTGTACATATTACAAAAGTCAAGCTGTTCTTTTGGAGTTAAAGTACCTACTTGGGCTCACACTTTGTATTTTACCTTATGGGGCTCATTGGGATTTAAGTCTGGTTATAGGTCTAGAAGCAAAAATGGGTGATGAGAGTGGGTCCTGGGAACATTCAGTAATGTCTTGTAAGGCACTATCTCAGGTGATGCTCCAGACACCACCCCAGGTGATATCTCAGTCAAAGACCCTTTAGGCACAACTGAATTAATCTTATCAGACAGAAGTGGAAGGGATAATGATTTTACTGGGGAGGGTGATTTAGCAGACAAAAATGGAATGATCTCTTCCGGTGGAAGTAAGAGGGCTGGTTTGTTGACAGGAGTGATTCAATGGAATTTAGGGGATCAGCGTCCCCATCTTCATGATTATCTGTCCATATATGCCTATCCCTGGTTTCAGGATCCCATTTCTTCCCAATCAATGCTGTCACTTTCTCACTTTAACTTCAGACACCATTCACGGTTGGGAATTCAATTGGCATTGTAATTCGGCAACTGGTATGATATGTTTGGTTTTTGGCAATACTGGCTCTGTTACTACAAGAAGTAAGACCTTCTTTCAGGGCACAAGTGGCAATTTTGAGGTCTTTTATGCGGTGCTTGAGCTGGGACTCTGAAGCCCCGAGCTCATCTCTTTCTTTAACCACTTTTTCTAGTGAAAGGACCAACCAAAAAGCTTCCCTATACTTTTTATTCTGACAAAATTGCAGAAAAGTATCAAACACACAATCACCCAGAGCCTTGCTTCTCACCAATACTTGATCTATCGGTGGTGATATTTTGCATATTAATATTGGCATCTCACATCATGGATTAGCAGCACCCTCTTTACTACTAGAGGCAAAGTCATCAGCACCTTTAAGACTAGTCGGACTTGAGAACCAATTTAGAAAATTCATCCTTATGATTTTGTTTCTCTAGAACCATTCCTGGTACCAAATGTCTTAGGCTGGGTTCTTCAGAGAAGCAAAACAAGTGAAGCCTGGGTGTATATGTGTGTGTGTATATACAGAGAGATTTTTCTCAAGGAAATGGCTCATGTGGTTGTAGAGACTGGCGAGTTCCAAGCCCATGGGTCAAGTGTCAGGCTGGAGGCTTCTCTTGACTCACATAGCTGCAAGGGCTGATGAATCCAAGTTTGTCTGATGGCAGGCCACTGGCTTATAGGCTGCTGAAGCTGACAAATCAAAGATCAGCAGGTAAGATGGCAGGCTACTGGTTCACAGGCTGTAGAGTCTGATGAATCCCAAGATTGGCAGGCAGTATGGCAGGTTGCTGACTCAAGTTCCAAGAACCAAAGGTCAGATGATGAGCTGGATGCAGGATCCAGAGCAAGCAAGCGAGCTTTGCCAGAACTTCCATATATATGCTGGATGCAGGCTACGCCCCTGAAGAAACTCCCCTTAGTATTGATTGGCTGACCACATCAGATCATATCATGGAGGATGACTACATCATTACATAACTGCCAAATTACATCATTATATAACTGCCAAACTACATCATTACATAACTGCTAAATTATCATTACATAATTGCCAACCCACGGTGAATCATGGCCCAGCCAAGTTGACCCAAAACCCTAACTATCATATTAGCTATTCATATTTCAAAGCGACCTTCAATCCTTTGTAGAAATAGAATTGTGGTTGAAAATGAACCAGTTGTGTGTTGGGTCTATTAAAGTGACAGTGTTTAATAGGAGATAATCAGACACATGAATTTTATAATAAAAAGCAGTTCAGTCATCTGGCTTCCACCAGCAGGCTAGCTTTTCTGCAATATTATCCTCACATCTGTAACACAGGACCAGTGTGATGGAAATAGTGTTATAATACAGTGTGTCAGATAGTTACCACACTCCAGGGAGGATCTGTCTTGTCCCAAATTCTGAATTACAGTAGGATCCCTGGGTACCACATCAGCTCCCATCCCTCCCAATTCTGCTCTGTGCTTCAGAGTGGATAATAGTCACGAAGCTGGGACTTCCCATCTCTTCGAGTTAATTAGAAATGGAAAATCAGTGTAGTCACTAGGGAGAGACAAAAAAGAGGAAAAAAATAAGTAAGATACCAATGCTCTAAGATGTGAGTTTCTCCTGGACAGCAGCGAATCAGCTGCTCCAACTGAGGTCTGATGCCTGGGGTGGGGTAGGAGGCAGAGTTGGGACTGTGACAGGACCTCCCTCCTCCCCCTTGCTACCGCTTCACTCCCCTGCCATTCCTATGCTAACTGAAATTAGCCCATTTCTACTTTCACACTGAGAAGTTCTCCTTTATTCTATCTCACCACAGGAGCCCTGAAAACAGTACAAGCTAACACAGCAACTCTCTTAAAGCCATCCTTAGAGAATGATCCGGAAGGAAGGAAACACCCACCTCCTTTTACTCCATCTTTTATAGAAAGCCTCCCACAAGGCACCTTAAGGGTTAAACTTTCATTGCAGAAAAGGGGTATCAAGTGGCTTTTCAAAAGGGGATAACCCCAAATTCAGAAGCTGCTATTTCTAAAATCAAGCGAAATAGACATTTAATTACATTGCTTTCTATGAAAAGAATAACTAGCTGTTCACAGTGTGTGTGTGTGTGTGTGTGTGAATGAATGTGTGTATATGTTTGCTTATGTCTGTCTGCCTATCATCTATATAATGTATCTGGGTGAGGAACTTCATAGTTAGTAAAAACCCCAGAACACGACAGAGATCTCTTTTACTATAGCTCGTTTTGAGTATTGCTCTCAATTTATTATGTCACATAAATCAAAAGGGAAGCATTGATCTGATCGTTCCTAGGCATCCCTTCTGCCTCTGTGTCCTAGCCCCTCCCCCTGTGCTGTTTCCAGCTCCTCAAAGATGCTTTGTGCAAGAAAGTGCAAGTTCCCCATCCTGGCTTTATTTATGGTCCCTTTTGCACTTCTTCTGATTCCCCCCAAAACCAAGCTAGCAAAGCAAATGGCACGGGTTCCCTCCCAACACCAACACCGGACCGCGTTTGCTCGGAGGAGAGCGGGAGAGGGAGCGCGCATTCCGGAGCAGGCTGTTCTGACTCCCGACCACAGGCTGTTTTGTGCAGGCTGTCCCTCTCCTTTAAACCCATACATCCCCTCCCTGAAGCAGCAGGCGGTGTGCCTCCATTCAGCCACATTTGGTATGCAAGAGCAAGGCTGCAGGGAGAGGGGAGGTGGCTTTCTTAAGAAGGTTCAGTGGCTCAGGCAACGCCAGTTGACTAGTCTCCCAAGTTCTAGGAAGCCTCTGCCCTAATGGAGTTTGCAGGTGTGGAGATGACCGTGGGATGCCAGGGCCGTGGGGGACCCTTTGTTTTCTAGGCGTTGCTCAGGTTTGCAGTTTCTTGTTTTCCTGGTGGAATTTGGAAGGGGTCATGCATCAAACTGACGCTCCTCGACCCCTCAACTGGACTATCCGGAAGCTATGCCACGCAGCCTTTCTCCCATCTGTCAGACTTCTTAAGGTACTGTAACTTGCTGCTTTGAATAGCTCTTATTATATGTTTCAGGTCTAAATACCTAACTTTGTACTTGCACAGGGACTCACCTTTTGGGGAGCTCAAATGCATGTAGTACTGGCTTTGTTGCCTATGGCTGGTGGGGGGGGTTCTCAAAGCCCCCCCCCCCAAGGTGTGAGGGAAGAGAGGGTGGTCTGAGTCAAACTTGAGAATGAGCTTGTGGTCTCAGGGACTGGGTTGCCTGAGTACTCCCCCCACGTCTCTTAACCATCCTGCGAATAGAATTAGATTAACTTCTTTGGGAGGGTAGGAACAGTAGTGGGAGTGAAATCCCTTATTGCCCTGTGTTTGGCTCTGGGTTTTTTTTTTTTTTTTTCCTTTCCTCCCTGGGGAAGCCCTTCGACCCACTTTCCCTTTAAATGGAACCTGAGAGAACAAAGGATTCTCCTTATTTTAAAAGCCCTGTGTAGCTAGGTGGTTGGTCAGGTAAAGGCAAACAAAGAACGACTGTTTTGGTGCCCCTGTTTTAAAAAAAGAAAAAAAGGTGTGATAATTTTTGTCTACCAAGTGACGTTAGAGGTAATGGTGAAGTGTTAAATGCATATTGAAGGTATGCCTCGAGCTCTCTTCCTAACACACACTGCCTTTGAGTCACACAAAGGAAAGGTATACACCTGTGCTAAAATTGCTACCTTGTTTCTGCAGCGCTCCTCTTTTCTAGAAGCATTTTAAGTGAAAGATACTGACAAAGTCCCCGCAAGTCATAATAATTCACCTTCATCATCTGGCTCTTAGGGAAGGAAATACAAATACAATTTAAGAGGTGCAGAAAACAATTATTTTTCCCCGGAAAAGAGAATGGGCAACCCTTATTTGGGAAAAGTACGTATCTGTGGATGGTCCACGTACCTTTGAAGTTAAAAAGTCAAGGCAAAGTTCTTAATTCTCTTTTCCATACAAAATATGATATTTTAATTTAATTACCACTGGACATTGAGTCTAACTGACTATAATAGGGGTTAATGAATTAGCCTTGAATAAGTTACACTTGCATCATTTTTTTCTGAGGCCATGTTCTAGAAGGTTAAGTTTGATGTAGATTATTAGTTCCCTACAGCTAACTGACCCCTTGGAACAGAGTGTTATCCATTTGATGAATTTTCCTTATCCTGTTAAACATGAACTAAAATTAACTTTCACAAAGGCTGCCCCCCAAGTGCTGTTCAAATCCCCATCATATGGTTGTCATGGCAATTGCTTGCTTCCCTAAAGGAATATTTAGTAGGAAAGGCAGGTTTGGGCAGGGGGAATGGGAGAGAAGCTTCCTTGGATATAAGTACTTTTACTGTATTGGAATGTATGCGATAGGGCATAGAAAAAAATGAGGCCAGGAAATTAACAAATGAATGTAAATTTTCCTCCAGAATCACTGGTGAATAAAGGGTCTGGGACAAAGAATGTCCTGGCAAATCTAACTACAATCGTTGAAATTGACTCCAGCAATACCATGTGCAGCAAGAAACATTTTTCAGTTAAAATCATTCATTGGCTTTATGCCAAAATTATGCTTTTTAACTTACACAATGGTCCTCTTAACAGGTGTGTGAATATCACCTCCAGTGTATTATTAATTAATACTCTAGTTTTTTTAGTGGAAAACGTCACTCATTATTTACTTGTCACAAAACCACTAGAGAAGTGTCTATTTGACATAGATTACTTCTGTTTAGAAGAGCTCTCTCACCTTTAACTGAAAGTACTGTCCATGCTATATACCAAGAGACATTATCCATACTACACCAGTATTGTCATTGTTGTACAGCTCAATCCTACCATCTTTCATTGACATGATGTTTTAAAAATGTGTCTGATAAAATCCATTAGTGAGTATCCATCCAATTCTCTCAGTATTCGAAAGACAGGATGTATTTTACCAGAGAACTTTCTTTCCAAATGACATCTGTATTTTGAAAGATTATTGCTGTCCTAGGAGACTTCAGATATTGAGCCCATTTCAAACTCTTAAAAAACAAAATAAGGTGCTACCACATTCTTTTGGACATAGAAGGAAATGAAAGCTGGTTTTGTAAATGGGCAATTGTATTATCCACATATTGGATTTGAATATTATGTCACTTTTCCCCCTCTGGTTTTATGCTATCCTGTCTTTGCTTTGCTAGTCCCTGTGTATTCTTGCTGCGCCTCTTTTTTCCAAGTAAAACAGAATTTCATGAATAATGATTTGCATCTTTTGGTCAATGTTCTTCCTGGTTGAGTCGATATATTGAATATTTTATAACATTAGTTCTGACTATTCCTTCCTTCCTTTCTGCTCTTTCCCCTCTATCTCTTACTCTACCTCCGCATGCCCCATTATATTACTTTGATTGATGGATTCTCTGGACACCCAGGAATCTATTGAAATCAGATACTTAAGAAACCCAATTCTCCTACTCAACAGGTAATTTCTGTTCCTATTCCAAGCATTGTTCTGATATGATATGTCCTCTCTAGGGCCCTGCCTTGTCAGGAAAGGAGGGCAGGGTATGATGGCATGATTAGATTTGGCTAAACTCTAATCACTCACCATTTCTGACAGAATGGGCTACAGCCTCCCGATGCTTATCGTTCTCCTGAAAATGTCTTTCTTTGCTAACTTACTTCGGTACCGTGCTAACGTTTAGAAATGGCCTCATAATTCTATTTCCTGTATTTCCCATTTCCGAATAGACGCAGGATACTAAAGAATTAGAAGGGGTAGGCCGGCATCTAAAGCATGAATTAAACCCACTAACTATTGGAACATACCTATTATTCCTTCTGGAAAAAATCTCATTTGTTGTTTTGTCCTTCCCAGAGCAAATTTTGAACATGCCAACAGCTCACATTTGCATGTGGAAATAACAGTCAAAAATGAAATTCTGGATATGCACACGGCAATGAGAGCCAAAAGACAGAGGCTGTTTTCAAACGGGTCAATTTTAAATGGGACCCTTTCCAAAATGTGTTTCTTTTGTTGTCAATGGCTTCATTCTTACGTGTTTCAAGATTTAATCTTACTATTAATCACAAAAAAGGTCAAGTTTATTTCAGTGACAGAATGTTCTTAGCATATTTCATAGTCATGATCAGGTCTGTTTCTGATATTGTTTTTATTTGGGAGATTTTATTTTGGAAACTTCTCTTGAATTTGAAGAGTAATTTTTAGAGCAGAGAGCTTTCTTTGCACTTCTGAGGACTGAAGTCTTGGTGTACTTACCAAAGAGAAGGCCTCTGAGAAAATGGGTTGCGTTGGAAAGTTCTGTACTTGTAACACATGTTGGATAGACATGTTTAAGCCACTCTGTTAATAAAGGCCAAATTATCAGTATCATTTTAGGATTATCAAAGTTTTATGTTGAGAAATGGTATGACTTTTCCCACTTTGAACAATGCCAAAAAGATAATAAAGAAATTATACTCTAAATAGGTAGGTTTAAACACTGGCTTCTAATCCCAGTTGTGTTCCTATGCAGCTGTGTAACCTGGAGGTAAAGTATTTAACCTCTCCGTAATTTGGTGTCCTTTTTAAAATGAAGGGCTTGGGTCTTGACCTGACTTTAATTTGGTGCTGTGATGCCTTTCGGTAAACCACAAGCCTACTATACTTCATGGGCATGGAAGAGCATAGTCCATTGGGGGTAAAAGTAGTTAAACTGGATTGAACATTAAAATGGAAGAAGTAAATGAATCTACAGTGATTAGCAGAGTTTAAGTCATAGAGGGTCTTGCCTGCTAAGTTAAGGCATTTGATCCTTATCTTGGAAGCTAGAGGGGGACCATTAAAGAGATTTTATCAGGGAGATGACAGCCAGATTCAGGCATGAGATTGCTCTGGCTGTAGTGTCCAGAGTGGGTGGGAGATGGTGTGACTGGAAGCTGAGAAACTAACTAGATTGGAGGCCTGGAGAACTGATGAGAACCTAGGCTAAGGCAAAAGTAATGGAAGTAAAATAAACAGGGGCTTGTTAATTGATTGGTTGTGGTTGAGGGAAGAATCTAGAATAACTTCCAAGTTTCTGTCTTTGCTGTCTGATTGGACAGTGGTCCCAGGCTCTGAGAATTAAGGCCCTGAGAAGGAAGGGCAGGGATTCTCATTTTGTGGTTCCTCTTTGGTGAGCTAAAAAAGCATATGTCAGTTACTGATTATAGTGGGACTAAGATAAATGTAAGGAAAATATTTCCATCTCATTGATGGACATGAGCTCCACTGAATGAATGCCTTGTAACAGACTCTTTGAAGTAAATAATATGAAATCAGTATCATTTCTTACTTTTTCAGACTGTATTTTTGCTATTTGTACCATTTTTGTAAAATTATGTATAGTTAACTCCCATTTTTCTGGAATCTAGTCAAAAAGCTCAGATTTTTTTCCCATTTTCTTTTCTCCTTGCTGTCTTTTACACAAAAGGATGAATGAAAGTAAACTGGGTAACACAGGGGAGTTACCTGAAAGAGCAGAGAGCAAGCTAGGCTTCAGACCAGCCCAAATTCTGTCCAAGTACCAATGTCTGACACTTCTATATAGGTTCCATATAATGGTAACTAATGTCCATTATGTTGTCCCTGAAGCACAGGAAGAGCCTAACAACCAAATGGATTGGGTCTGTCTTCTACAGTTGATACCAGGCATCCCAGAAACTGACTTCCCTTTGGTGTTCTCAGATTCTTAAAAAAACAGTTATGTTTGATTCATTTCACTATTGTGTGTTTTCTTAAAAAAACAGTTATGTTTGATTCATTTCACTATTGTGTGTCTTACATTCATGACACCCAAGATCTCTGAATCTGTAAGTGATAAGTAAAATAATATCGATCAACCAGAATTTTTACTTAGCGGGGACAGGGTCCTCCTGAACATCATACTAGTGAGAAACAGTGATACTTCCACAATAAGAGAGGTAACACACACCTATTATATCTAGTTATGTGGGTAGATTTTGGGGAACCAGGTCAGGGAACTTGT